AAGGAGTAGGCAAACCAAACTGATGATCTTAGTATTTAAGCCAATGAGGGTACTTACAACTTCAGCTTCAGCAGACCAAGCTCAAGATGACAAAAAATGAGAATCAGAATGAGAATTGCTATTTTCTTGAATTCTGATTCAGGAAGCATAACAGGTCTCCCATTTGTTCAATCCAGCCAATGTGAAACTCCTCATTCGAAGGCCACAACTACAACGTTCGTTGTACACACGCACACATCATCCCCAAATTACCCCTTTTTTCATATTCCAACCCCAACGCTTCATCATCCCGTGTATCCCGACAGCCTTGGTATCCCGTGCCTGTCTTGTGCCTGTCCCCATCACGGACGTATAAATAAACTGGACCCGCAACCACCTCCATTGGTGAAGCCGACAAGGCGCCATTTTACGTTGCCAAAAAACCGTGCTCTGGAAGGTCATCGAGCCAATACAATTAGAATTGCGTCCAAACGGATGATCGGATCGAGATGCTGGTGGTACCGTTCGACGGGTAATTCCTTGAGGCAGGTGATGATGGATGTCACATATCACCAGGTGTCACATGGCGCGTGCCACGTGCCGACAAACTTACAAAGGGCAAAAACCTTTAAGCGACGCTTCAAATCAAACGAAGGGCGGCACAGGTGCCAAACTCACAGGTCACATGTCCCAGTGTTCGACCACTAACATATGGTATGCTCGGCATCAGGGCGTGCGGATGCACGCGCTAGTGGCGAAAAACATGTTTTGAGGAGGCATCCTCCGATTCCGGAAAACCTTGACCTAGGCACACCAAATTTGGCACACTGACACTACTGGACACGCGCTTTAAGGTGCTGTACAAATAGGCGTGCTGGGGTACACGGTGCACGTGCTGTGCACGTGCAAACCTTTTGATGTTGCACTCTGTGTCACATATGCGGGTAGGGCGGGTAGCGCTGGCAAGCTCAAAGTGCCAAATTTAAACAGGCCACCCAGAATGCATTCCAGCATAGTTATTGAGCATATCCATCTCCTGGTGGCCCCCCAAGGATGCGCTCTTCACGTGCAAAAAATTATCCGCGCCGGGCGATGGGGATGCTTGGACACCCTATGTGGATTTATGTAATTATCTCGAAAACGGCGTTGTGTAGCGCCGCCGTTTTTGGCACACCTTTTCATACATCTTTTTCACGCATGCTGCGTAACTTTCAGACTTAGGTCACTCAAGGTTAGGTCATCAGGTTACGTCCAAGTGACCTTACCTTAGGAAAAGTTATAGTGCCCGTCGTAGCTACACAGACTGAACAATCGGTTTAAAACGTGCAGCGATTGATAAGAGCAACAGTATATAGGTACGTAGAGTACCTCTACCTCGGAATTTCAATCAGTGGCGGCGGAACACCTTCAATTAAAGGGGGGCACTGCCGACTTTTGGTCCCATTCTTTCCATGCAACGCCCATAGGGCGTTGCATGTAAAGGGCTATGTTAAAATGCCAAAATCAAAGGGGGGGCACGGTGCCCCGGTGCCCCCCTCGTTCCGCCGCCCATGATTTCAATATCACTTGCTTGCTCAATGCTCATTGCTCAGCTCGTATTGTAAGAGCACTGCGGCACAGCATAGATGCAGGCGCTTTGCTACTGCCATCAATGGGTGAAAGATGAAGATAATTGTTATTGCGGTACAATATTACTGCAGGCGCAAACAACGTAGATAACAAAGATGCCTATGCTGCGCTGGCCGGCGATTGAGGCGTAAATTTGCGTTGCTGGGTAGCAAAAAGTTTAGGAGCCCGAATTTGACAAAACAAATAATGATTTGCCGTGCTGGTGGTCTGAGGTCGCAAAATCAACAGAACCCTAGGTCAGTGATATTTAAATTTCGAGGTAGAGGTAGGTACTCTACGTATATACTGTTGATCTTATCAATTTCTGCACGTTTTAAGCCGGTTGTATAGTCTGTGTAGCTATGACGGGCATTATAATTTTTCCTAAGGTAAGACCACTTGGACGTAACCTGGTGACCTAACCTTGAGCGACCTAAGTCTGAAAGTTGTGCAGCATTTGTGAAAAGATGTATGAAAAGGTGTGCCGAAAACGGCGGCGCTACACAACGCCGTTTTCGAGATATTTACAGAAATCGGCCTTGCATAAATCCACATAGGGTGTCCAATCATTACCACCGCCCGGCAGGGATAATTTTTTTTGCACGTGCAGAGCGCACCTTTGGGGGCCACCAGGAGATGGATATGCTCAATAACTATGCTGGAATACATTCTGGGTGGCCTGTGTAAATTTGGCACTTTGAGCTTGCCAGCGCTACCCGCCCTACCCGCATATGTGACACAGAGTGCAACATCAAAAGGTTTGCACGTGCACAGCACGTGCACCGTGTACCCCAGCACGCCTATTTGTACAGCACCTTAAAGCGCATGTCCAGTAGTGTCAGTGTGCCAAATTTGGTGTGCCTAGGTCAAGGTTTTCCGGAATCGGAGGATGCCTCCTCAAAACATGTTTTTCGCCACTAGCGCGTGCATTCCGCACCCCCTGATGCCGAGCATACCATATGTTAGTGGTCGAACATTGGGACATGTGACCTGTGAGTTTGGCACCTGTGCCGCCCTTCGTTTGATTTGAAGCGTCGCTTAAAGGTTTTTGCCCTTTGTAAGTTTGTCGGCACGTGGCACGCGCCATGTGACACCGGGTGACCTGTGACATGCATCATCACCTGCCCCAAGGAATTACCCGTCGAACGGTATTACCAGCATCTCTATCCGATCATCCGTTTAGACACAATTCCAATTGTATTGGCTCGATTACCTTTCACGGCACGGTTTTTTGGCAACGTAAAATGGCGCCTTGTCGGCTTCAGTATCTTCCATAGGAGGTCCATTGGGATTGTCAGTCCAGTTTATTTATACGTCCGTGGTCCCCATCCCCTTGGGTGAGACTAAATGCTTACTTCGAAATCTAAGCTGTGTTGCGGCATTGGCTGTTATGTGCGGCGTGTATGCCGCATGATTAGTAAGCGGCGACCACTAAATTAAAGACTTAAACGCTCCAACCTGTTTTCAATGAATAACACTGCATACCAAAAATGCCAATCGCTCTCGTCATAAGATATTTAGATTTAAATAACTAAGTTATCTGCATCAACATTTTGAACCAAATTAATGCTTTCAACTTAGTACTCACTCATTCCTTCCTTCGTTGGCTCCAAACAGTCCTTCGATTGTCTGGAAATCGTATGCCAAATCCCGCACCTACTATACGACTGGTGCATATAAAGGCCGATGTAAGAATTTCAATAGGCTCTCGCATGCGATTTCCTGGCTACCCAAAAAGTCTGTTTCAGTCATACTATCAAAGCATGGTATGTCAGCCCTGTCACCAGCTTATGACTGCTCTGCTTGTAGTGCCCCTGACCGTCACCGACTCCCTTCCCTGGCCTTAAAAGCCTAGTTTCCCTCCATCATCTCTACTAGATTTAGGTGATGCTCCGACAAATTCACAAAGGCAAGACCAAACTTGTTCGGAGTTCGGACTGTGAGTTAACCCTCGCCCTTTAGGGGGGGGGGGGGGTCGAACGGACTCCCCTCGGTTTTTCGCGAATAACTCGCGTAAAAAGCGACGTAACTTTTAGTCGACGTAACCCGATCACGACGTAACTTTTAGTACCCTCGCGTTGATCAATTTTACACCTACCCTGAAAATTTCATGACCCTGACGCAAATAACCTTTGACCTGTGACCTACTTTTCGAGACCATGTTTGGCCGGAACCGCGATTCAGCGTATGTCGGCTCGCATTAGCAGCGCGTTTGCAGTCTTTTCGTGGTTTCAAACGTTCAAACATGTGATATGATCTTGCCCCCATGCATTAGGGTGGGTGTCAAGGTCATCTGAAGGTCAGGTCAGGTCATTGACCTTTGGTGACCTCGGTTCACTTTTTCGAGTTTGACATGTTTCTAGGCCAGTTTTTCGAGCTGATTTCGAATTTAGCAACCACATGAACGTTTACAAAGTAGTTTTGGTGCCTTAGTCACATGTTACGAGGCTGTTAGAGGCGGTTGACACCTACTACAAATACCCGGCAGGACCTCTACTGGTTGACCTGACCTGACCTGACCCGACCTGGCCTAAATGAATGAAGACATCATCTGTGATCAAAACTAGCATGATGTTCGTGATCAGCACCCCGAAAAACCCCATAGCAATTAGCAGCCACACTACGACGTTCTAACAGGTCCTGATTTTCCCGCCTTTTGGGTCATTGACCTGACCTGGAAGGTCAACCGATGACCTAGGACCTTAAAATTGGGTATCATCGGCTTCCTTTCGTCACGGGCAACACGCTCGTTTTCTCCGCGAAGCTCTAGCTTGATCAGGAGCGAAACGGCAAGGGGTTATACCTTATACGTTCGAGGCTGGAAAAACACCAATACGGGCGAGGGTCAAGTTGAAAGTATTAATTTGGTTCAAAACGATGATGTAGATAAGTTAGTTATTTAAATCTAAATATCCTATGACGAGAGCGATGGACATTTTTGGTATGCAGTGTTATCCATTGAAAACAGGTCAAAGCTATTGAGTTTTTAATTTAGTGGTCGCCGCTTACTAAGCATGCGGCATACACGCCGCACATAACCGCCAATGCCGCAACGCAGCTTAGATTTCGAAGTAAGCATTTAGTCTCACCCCATCCCCTTTCCTTTTCTCCACATTTGGAATTATAAACAAAATACTTCATTTCGTTTAATTTTGTTCTGATGACGTCAGCATATACGAACGAATCAACTTTTGCGAAAAAAAGGTTTTTTTATCATTATAAGTTACTTTAAATCAATGTATTAAACTGTTTCTCCGACCGTTCCATAAATAATTTTAGCTGAAACCATCGGTTTTTTCCAAACAATGAATTTTTGAACAAAAAAAGTTTAAACCTCAATGACGTAAAATATAGCACATTACAACTTTATTTATATTATTACTTCTATTTTTTGTCGCAGATGCGCAGCTGATGTATTGTGAGTGTTTTTATATACCTTGAATGACCTTGATCCTATAGGCATGGATTCTATAGGTATCTTTGTTGTGACCTTTGAGGTAGGTAATGTGATTAGAAATGTCCATCTTGGTCTGTCTGACTTCAGACTCCTGCACTCTGAATTGCTACATTTATGTCTATGTTACATTGTTCATTGAATAATACAGCGTACAAGTGATTGATGCATTTCCTTTCCAAGGATTCGATACAGCGTTCTAGCTTCTTGTCTTCTTATCTTATGTCAATGTGTAGACTGGTCCCCAAGGTGGCTGTTCACAGAATTTGGTGGAAGCCTCTACAAATAATTGAGGGACGACGGTGAAAACAGGGCGCCTGGGGCGATTTGATCAAGGTTCGTGAAATTCACACGTGACGTTTAGCATGTAGAAGGCCCACGAAGGGGGAGAAGCTCCAAATGTCACGTGACTAATATGCCCTCCGGCGCCCTGTTTTCACCGGCATCCTAATTGAGGCCTTCCTGACAGGATACAAGCAGTGGGTTATGGTCAGCAGCTCCGTTGCTCCTGCTTGGACTGGACAGTGGACCTCAGTCCAAGTGGAATGAGTCCCAAGTGGAATCCTGCAGGGATCTGTGCTGGTACCTATACTGTTCATCCTCAATGTGAATGGCAAGCCTAGCATCCTGAACTAACTGCAGCATCAAGATCTTTGCCGATGATAGCATACTCTATCAGGCCGTCTGTGACCAAAACAATGCTCTGACTGATGGCTCTCTGAGCGAACCTGGATGCTGGTGTCCAGTGGGGTGATGAGTGGCAACTGCTCTTCAATGACACAAATACAAGGTCTTCCACATCGGTAATTATGTCCACTGACATGATAACTGCTTGAATTGAGAAGTTCTACAGGCAGCATCAGAAGAAACCCTAAGGGTGATTGTTAAAGTGGAGCTGAAGTTTAGGAGGCAACCAGTGGCAGTGGTCATTGGTCAACAAGGCATCCTGCGTAATGGCGGTGATACGATGATCATCCAGCCTGCTGGATAAGACACTAGACAGTCCTGCCAATCTTGATCAAGACGCTTGTGTGAGTGCAAGTGGAGTTCGGCAATATCGTGTGGGGTCTGGGCCCTGGGGACCATTCGGCATTCAACCAGGTGGATGAACTTTTCATCAAACAAGTCCAGCACTGAGCGACTCAGCTGGTTCAGGAAGCCGGTCCTGTAGCTCAGTCGGTACAGCGTTGGACTCCAGCGTGGTGAGAGCACGCGTTCCCGGTTATAACAGTCCGGGTTCGAAGCGCGATGGGCGCTTGACAGTTGACGTTTATGGGCCTCCTGACAGGTATGGTTGTGGTTGGTGGCAGGCCGCAGCCAGGCTAAGTCAGTGAGGGGACCGGTCGCGCGCGGCTATGTGCGCACGTTAAACTTTGGACTCTAAATTCTGCCATAGAACCGGAATTGCGCGATCAGAGGGTAGAGGGCAGAGTCAACGCAACAAGCTTCGCTTAGCGGGGGCTCTGTCCTTGTGAATCCTTCCAATAAAAAAAAATCCGAAAAAAAATCTAAAAAAGTACGCCACCTACCATACCAAGACAGACTGAGGACTGAGGTCCCTGAAGAGTGAAGCTGCCTTCCCTCCACTCCCGACGACGACGCAGAAATACGAGAGAGCTCTCCTGGCGCATTGTGAAGCCGTCAACCGCGTCCGTCGAAACATGTTCTCAATCAGTCATCAGTGACTGGAGCAGCCTACCACCATCCATCCCAGACGCTGACTCTCTCAGCGCGTTCAAAAATTGGCTCGACGCCATTTGGAGACAACTCCACTTCACATGTAGTTGATGCGTAGTTGAATCAACTACGCAATTAGCATAGGTAGTTGATGCATGAGGTACCTGAATGTAATAAACTATCAAAATTCAGAAAAGACCAATGGAAATTTATTGATGTTTTGGGGCTCTGCACCTCGGTGGACGTGCGGCCGTCGTAGGATTCACTGGTCACGTGTCCTTGGTAGAGGTCACTGCAGTACCTCATTGTAAGTCACGATATCACTGCAAAATTCATTTGATCTTTTAACCCTATTCCTGGCGGGGGGGGGGGCCTCAGGAGCCCCCCCCCGAGTTTTTTTGGTTATTTCTCCCAAACGCTTTGAGCTAGGAAGCTCACATTTTCTTACTTTTCCTAAAAGGCTTTTACGCAACATTTCTGAAAATTTTGAGTTGATCTGACCTCAGGTCAGGTCACCAGGTCAACCTAAATTTAGGTCATGAAAAAGTTTGTCCCCTCACCACAGCAAGAGTTTTCGAGCAAATATGTTCAAACTTCCAGGTTCAAATAAGCTTACCGATATGTGCAACATATGTTTCGGTTTTTGTTATATCCTTGACAGGTCATGACCTGAGGTCACCAATGCTTACCATTACGGTCAATGGGGAAACGATTCAAACTAACATGTTTGGGGTAAGATCAGAACTTATATGCATGAAACATTCATATCGTCTTCATATAATGATAAAAAGTAAAACAAATATGATAAAACACTTCTTTATATAACAACATGTTTCCCTAGTCATGACGTATCGAATGATATGTTACTCGCCTATACTTGCTCAGGTCAGGTCAACCGTGACCTGAGGTCAAAATTGAGAGTGACCTTAGTAGGTCAAAATACAAACCATTTGTTTCGCATTTATCAGAGAACTGCAACGGCGTTTACCGTTTCAGGCTATCACTAACGGTTCAGAAGTTATTGACGCAATTGCAGTGATGTTACTAAAAAATACGCTTTTAGATTTTTGACTCCTAGCGCCTCAAATGTCAAAAATAGCTGAAATCTGTTGGCAGCTATTCGAAAGGAAATTTTCTCAGCTATCAGCTGCTTTCCGTTTTGCTCTGACTTTCCTAGATACTGAGCTAGACCTCATTCTTTGAAAACTCTGCCAAATCGGAAAATTTTGGCTTTTTGGGGGTCTCACGGGTTTTTTTTTTTCGTTTTTGATATTAAAAATGTCTAAAATGTAGTTCACATTGAGAGCAATCCAATTCCGCTTACCGGATCAAAATCCGTCCATTAGTTTCCGAGATCTCAGGGGGGGGGGGGGCGAATCGCCCCCCCCCGCCAGTTTCTTGTCCCGGCGGAGCCCGCCAGGAATAGGGTTAAAAGGTCGCTAAATGCATGAACAAAGCAATGGATCTCTGTGAATGCCAATTGCCACATAACTCTCTGAAAACATGCTGGTCACCAAACCCGACTGAATGCCACGGGCAGCGGTTAATGTTTCAACTTTGAAGTTTTGTTAAGCAAAATGACCAACGCATTCGACGCGCCCTAAATCCCTACTAGAAGTGTTTGCTTTACGCTAATCATCGAGCATGCTAAAAGGCCTGCTCAGGATTCCTTTTTATCTATTGTTACTTGCACCTCTTATATGTGTTTGAGACTAGTAACTATGTATACCTATTCGTGATTCTTGGTTATCGGTACGTATACCCAGTTCCAACTTCCAAATTCACAATTTTTCGGTAGGCATTAACTGACTTGTGTACTTTTGCATCACCTTTGTGTCGTGTCCTTCCTCAGGTTTAGACCATGACGATGAACAACCTTCTTTCGACTGACTACTTCAGCCCGCGTCTCTGAACAATCAAAGTGCACGTGTATTCTGTAAGCGCTAGACGTCAGGTGGAGCTGTTAGCACACCCCGTCACGGAGTCACGAGTTTACTCCCGAGGAAAAGATGGTCCTGCCGCGGAAAAGGAAGAGGGTGTTTGACGTTCTCGAGCAGCGGCCTTACGGGGTGGCCAGCGCCGCTGACCTCCACACAGCCAGCAAAGGTTGGTCGGTGCCCGAAGTCGTGTATTCAAGTCGTGTGACTGGCTCGTACGTAGCTGATTTCAGGTGGAGAGGAGATGATGAATTTGAAATTGCCTTCCACTCTGCTGGTAAAAATGTAGGACACTATCGCCTTATCAATATCGATACGTAGATTTTCAGTCGATAATGCATCGACAGTCAATAACTGTGATCTTACCCCGCCGTTCCGCCCACAGACTGTGCCGGCTTCGTGGAGCGTCTGGCGCTGTGTCACCGCCTTCCCGTGCACACTGGCTGTGTCAACTCCATCTGGTGGAATACCGCCGGCACCCTGCTGCTCTCTGGCTCTGACGACCATCACCTGAAGCTGACCGAGCCCTACACGGCCAGGGTATGACTGGAGGGGGCGGGATGGATTTAAGTTTAGCTAGTAAGCGGTATGTCTATGGTATGTATTGCGTGTGATTGAGCTACAAAAGTACGTCTTTGGTGCTGACTTGGGCTCGTTTAGGATTTAAGCTGGTCACTTTTTAACACGCAATGCAGAAGGATTTAAGGCTTCTGCATCGTGTATTGTTTCAAGCAAATTAATGTGGTTTAAGTGCTTAAGTTTTTTTTTTACTCAAAGACCTCTGTTTCCATGCCTTTTATTCTGATTGCAAGTCATATGGGAACATCGCTGATTAACTGTATGATTTCAGATTGTGGTGGATCACCAGACCGCGCATCGTGCCAACATTTTCTCGGCCAAGTTTCTTCCGTTCTCCAACGACTCCAAGATCGTGTCCTGCTCGGGAGATGGCGCCGTTCTCTACACAGGTGAGCTGGCATATGTATTGCGTCCTCTCGCCTCACCGATCTGAGCAGTGCCATTTTTTAGGCATGCGCTTAGTAAGCTCCGGGCTAGAAACAGCCATATATGTGCTGCTCGTTTTCCATTTCGTCGAAAAGGTGTTATAGCCCTGTTGCTGCAGCACAAATCGTCTTTTGTCATCATCCATTTTGCGGCTTGCGAACTATCCGTAACTCTGACCCATCCTTCCCTTCGTTGTACGTACCATCTGTGCGCTCATCCAACCCGCTCGTCTGTCCCTTCTGAAGTATCTTACCTCACTCTAACCCGCTCGTCTACCCCCGACTGACCCCTCCCCCACCGCGTGTGCCGCAGACCTCCAGGACCTACCGTGTGTGTCGGCCGGCCGGCCGCCGCAGCTGTACCTCTGTCCGGCCGGCACCACGTACGAGGTGCTGACCTGGGACTCGGAGCCGCACTGCTTCCTCAGCTGTGGAGAGGAGGGAGCCGTGCGCAGCTACGACCTCCGTCAGCACCGCGCCTGCAGTGTCCGAGGCTGTACAGAGGTGGGTTAGGAACGGCACAGAGGTCGGTAGAGCTGATGGTACAGGGGGAATTTAGATTTGAGGCTACATGAAGTTGAATTTGAGGTTGTTTTGACTACTCGAGGCTGAATTTAGGTATTTTAGAGTGTATTCAATATTCACGTTAATTTCAGACCTCCGAGCAAAGTCGAGATCATTTATATGTGAATTCGTTACTCTTATGCGGGGTGAGTTTGAGACTTTACACCAGAGTGCTCGATGGGAACCCAGGCTAGTGCGACTGAAATTAGGAAGGGGCTATCGAGTCCAATTTGAATGCCCAAGCTCATTAAATTGGGGTTCCGAGTTACCTCTGACACCAACAGCTGTGCCATGGCACGTGGTCTGTGGTCATCTGTAACCTGCTATGACCTCTGACGCCGTTTGTGACCTCTGGGCAGACGGTGTTGCTGTGGGCGGACCGCGCCGTCACCACGATGGCGCTGAACCCCGCCTCTGTCTGGGAGCTGGCCGTGGCCACCGCAGATGGCGCCGTCAGCCTCTACGACCGGCGCATGGTGCAGCCGCAACAGAACGGTGAGAGGCTCCCGCGGGGGGAGAGCTCAGTCTATCCGAGTCAGTAGCCATACTCTCGCCGAGTCAGTAGTATGGCTACTGACTCGGCGATATATCGATTAACCTAATTTGCTTTGCGAAGAGATTTTATTGCAACCCTAAGGAACCGAGAGGATAAAAGGCAGAAGGAAGTTCGTGCAAAAAAAGTTTGTTTGGCAGTTTTTTTTAAGAACAGCTATTTTGGCTTTCCGAAATGGTTTTATGGAAATGCTTTTATTGCATCGTGCGGCACAAGTATCATCAATATTGCATGTCGTGTAATGGGCGGGCAATGCACTTATAGTCGACGCACAGTAATACTTCAACTCTGTTGTATCTGCACAGATTGCGTCTGCCCACGTGCAGCTCACTAGACATTGCCCTTTCCTTCCCCTCTGCAGGTGGCGCCATTCGCCAGTGGACGGCTCCCGATTTCCAGGGCACTGGTCGCCGCATCACCGCACTCAAATACGCCACCGGTGGCCGGGAACTGCTCGTATCCTACTCAGCCGGCGACATCTACCTATTCGACCTCGCCGAGACGGAGACGTCTTCGGAGCCGGCAGCCGCCGCCGCGCAGCCGGCCCGACCGCCGGTGAAGCGACTGAGACTGCGTGGGGACTGGTCCGATACGGGACCTCAGGCCAGGCCGGAGAGGATGGGAGCTGCTACTGGAGGAGGAGAGAGGGAGGGAGATGCAGAGGAGGGAGGAGCGCCGACGGAGCAGGGTGAGAATGGGAGAGCAAAGAGAGGAGAGGACTGGGTGGTGACGACTGGGAGAGGTGACGGCTGCTGCAAGAAGTAGCTAATTGTCAGACAATAGTGGGAAGAGAACAAGGGGTTAAATGGTTAGGTGACGGCGTTTTGGCATCTCATAAGAACGTAGGTGGTGGGGTTATAAAATACCACACGGGGCCGGTAAATGATTTCTTGAGGACAGAGGTCGTTGTTGATATTCCGCCCGAGGCCGAAGGCCGAGGGTGGAAAATCAAACAACGACCGAGGTCCTCAAGAAATCATTCCGGCCTAAGTGTGGTATTTATTTTACCATATGGTGCACGTAGTTGCAAAATGAGCCTTCTCAAAAACCACGCTTCTCACCAGTTTCTTGGGATTTGACTTTGGTGATGACAATTAAGATTGTATTGAGTTTTGTTATTAAAAAATAAAAAGTAGGGAAACGTTAAGAAAAAAAGGGAACAATGCGTGAAGAAGTTGAAGCCTTACTTCGAAATATCAGTTTCCAGCTCCCCTTATATCGTGTTCAACATCAGTAACCGTGGAACATGAACATCAAAATGAAGTAAGAAGCACGGCACGGTAACACCCGGAGCTGTCAACACTGCCCTGTCGACTAGTGCGAAATGACGTGTACCTGAATAGAAATTTGATTATTGGCGTTTATTTGCGTTTCGTACCTACGGATAGATATCGCCACATGGCCCACCAAAGTTATCCCGTCTTCTGGGCAACGCAAAGATAAAAGAAGTATAGCTAGAAATGAGCTTTGTAAGCAATAATGAAAGGTGGGTCAATGACCTCAAAACAATCTGCTGGTATACGAAAAATGACCACGGGCCAAAACCGTTTCCCAGATACCTAAAGCATTACAGTCTGAGCGGGCCGAAAGCATATACCAACATTTTCCGAACGCTCGTGCCAATACTAAAGAGATACTCCACCATATGGTAAAGGGGCTTACCAACCTCATTTGACAAGGTTATCTTATGGCATTCCAAATGTACACAGTGCTATTTTTCGGTATTTCGGTATTTACGTCATTCTTGTTATTTTCTTTCTCAAATTCACAAGAAATGAACAATCGTATGATGGAGATCCGGCCATCTGGCGTATTCTATTTTGACCGATCTCCCCACGTCTCTGACCCTCAGCTTCCCCCTTCGTTCCGCCATCAGGTGCTGAGGAGGACCGCCCGCGCCGCTCTGGCGTCTCACTGCACGCAAACCTCATCAACCAGATGAGTGACGTGCTACAGCGCCTGCTGACCAGTGAGATGCCGAGCCGGCCGACGGGCGTGACGCCGGCCCCGGCCCGGCCCCCGCCGCCGCCTCCAGATCTCAGCCGGAGACCGGTCACACGCCGGGTCATGGAAAGAATTCGACAGCGGCGCGCGCTCAACATGGAACAGGTACGGTAGTGTGGGGAGGGAGGGACGGGAAGAGAACGGATACTGTCTGCTTGATATATAAGTGAGGAGGGATGGTTTTGAGACCCCAGTACAGAAGTGATGGCGGGATGGCAGGCAAGAATGTTTTTTATATAGATTACCAATGCAATAGTCCTAAAAGTGAACTGCATTTCGTTAGCTTTCTTTTAGTTTTCTGCTACCTAACAGTACGAATGGTCTTCTCCTCCATCACTCGCTAACTACTTCTACACAACTAGTAACTACTTCACAACTAGTCACCACTCACCCAAACTTTCCCTCATCGGCAGGTGGTGCAGGGCATGGAGTCTCTACAAACCTCCTCAGACCCGTCGGAGCCGAACCAGACCTCTGATGATGTCACTACCGAGCCGGCAAACGGAGCAGAGGTCGGATCATCCCCTGCGGAGGCCGGGGAGGAATTGCCAGACGCGGGAGGCGCTATTACGGATACGGCAGGCGCTGCCGGGGAGAATTGTGTCGTTCAGGCGGAGGTGCAGACAAGTACGGTGGCTGTGGACGAAAAGAATAGTGCCGAACATGATGCTAGTCAGGAGACTGGTTCAAGAGATCGATCTGAAGGAGTTGCCGATGAGGTAGCTCGCAGAACTGTTAGTGGAAATGAGGGAGCCAGAAGCGGCTCTGCTGACACCTCTGCAGCTACAGACACCACGTCAGGCTCAGCACCGGATGACACAAGTTCTGCGGATGACGCTACGGATGGTCCGACCGGCACAGACGGCGCTGCTGTCGCTGTGTCTACCTCTGATGATACCGTGCCCACTCCGGAGGCCCCGTCTCCTCTTGGATCGTACCTGGAGGCACAACCGGTGGCGCCTCGCAGTGAACCGCTGGTCAGCCTCTACTACAACCCTCAGAGCTCCACGGCCGGTCAGATATCCGTCGGTGGCCCTGAGAGTGCTTCCAGCGGGCTCCCTCAGCCGCCAGAGACGGAGCCGCGCCACGCCACCTACGCAGAGAGGTGAGGACTGAGGGTGCCTGGTGTGGTGGGGTGGGGTCAGGGATTTCGTGGTGTGTGAGACAGGGACTTGAAAGACAGGGAGCGCTCCCTTGTTTTGTCTGGCCGTATAATCTGAGCGCTTAATGATGAAGTCAAATTTTGACTTGAGCTGATCAGGGGGCCTTGTACTCCGCGGCTGCCATGCTGTGACGTTTCTGATGTCTCAAAAAGCCTGCTAAGTCTTTGATTTTCGGCCCATTCTGTGGTAGCGTCGCTTTCTCCATCGGTCAGTACTCAGTGTCCTCAGCGCTATGTGCTATGTCACCCATATGATATACCCTCGGCCGCGCGGTGCACCCGGCAGTGATCATCTCTGCTCTTCTCCGACAGAGCTTTACTGCTGTCGTGTGGCTCCGCCCAGGAGCCGGATCGGGCAGATCCGGACGATCCGGACGACCAGGAGGCGGCTGGTGGTGCCTGCTCCGGCTCCGGAACTGGCTCCGGACGACAGCAGCCGCGGGTGGTGGGGCGGTACACCGGACATCGCAACGCCAGGTACATACATAGGTACTGCAGGTACGGGTGGAACGAGGCATAACTAAACTTGCTATGCCTGTGATACTGCCTAATGAGTAGTGTAGTGACTAGTGAGTGAAACATTTTTGCGAATTTCGGTGCCGTAACTAAGCATACTGAGTGTCGTTTTGTCTAGATTGACAAACAATATCAGCTCCATGTATCATTTCTTTTCTGCTAGTTACGTCCTGCTAGTTGCATGAAGTTCGATTCGCTGCGTGATGCGTGGATAGCCTCTCAAGCAAAGGCTGGCTTTTTAAATGAAGCTATGCCGGTTGTATGGGCAGTCAACGGCTTCACAAGCTTTCTTTTTGTTCAGGTAATTTGCATTACTACATACATGTAGTAATGCATGCATTACTACATGTATTTGCATGTAGGTAGGTTCATAGTACATGTACATGTATTTGAGTAACGTGCACCTATTCCAAAGGGCGAGTAGGCATTTCGTCCACTACTTTTCTCGGAGAGCCAGTCAGGACGGCAGCCCCTAGTTTCCTTTATCTTTCATATCCATCACCAAGCTCGTATCAGTCATCTCTCATTACGCCTGTTACCGACCTGTGCTGTGCCCTCAGGACGATGATCAAAGAGGCCAACTTCTGGGGCTCGGATCACGTGCTGTCCGGCTCCGACTGTGGCCACGTGTTTATCTGGAACCGTCACACGGGCCGGCTCGTGGCCGTGCTGGAGGCCGACCGGCACGTGGTCAACTGTAAGTATGCGTATCAGGCGTAGGTGGATCTAATCAAGCATGTGCATTGTGGGGATACATGCCGCCTTTGACTAAGATGTAAACATCAGTCATTATTGAAATGTCAGGGTGCGTGCTCTCAGAGTTGTAGCCAGCAGTGTGTATTCACGTATAGAGGTATCACATTTTGATATATTCTTCGTTGCCGACTACCTTTTCGAGTCAATTATTTGGCGTCATATGCATGAATTGTATTGATAACCATTAACCAGGCTCTGTATCCTTTTTTGTGATCAGGTGTTCAGCCGCACCCGCTGGATCCCCTTCTGGCCACATCGGGTATTGACTACGACGTCAAACTGTGGGCCCCGCTGGCGCCGCATTCCACGCTGGATGAACAGAGGGCGCAGGAGGTGGGTTATTGGGGAAGGTACAGAGGGCACCGGGGGTAGGTTTCTGCGCAGAGGGGACGTGATGGGGATAGGTTTCTGCAAAGGAAGGGGTGGCTTCTTAAAGGAGCAGTTGAATGAAATATGTCTGGAGGCTCAGCTACCATCAATGGGTGTTGGCTGCAGTGACAAATAATAATTTGGCTATTTTTTATGATTTCGCGCAGTGCAAACTACAGTGTAGGTTTGTTCTGCATGATTCGTATGCCACTTGTATGTGATGGTCGCCGACGGACCTGACGACCTAAGCTGACATGACCTGTGACCTCTTTTAGCTGATGACCCTCTGACCTGTCTGCCCGTCGGCAGCTGATGACCCGTAACGCCATCATGCTGGAGGAGACGCGGGACACCATCACCGTGCCGGCCTCCTTCATGATCCGCATGCTGGCCTCTCTCAGCAATCGCAGAGGTGAGATACGAGCGCCGATATGAGAACATTCATGGGACATAGATATATGTGACATGGGATATATGGGATATGGACTTATGTAGACACATTGAGCCAGGCACGTGGTAATTTCACATATTGTTTTTTGGTACAGGGATGATTTAATCATTCTTTCTGCGACGCTCTTAAGTCGTTTTTAAGCGGCGTCAAGGAAAATAACTGTGTGGAAAGAAACATTACGAATACTTGCTCCTACTGTCTCGAAGGTGTCGATTTTGCGTTGTCTTTTTATGCTACGAGCAGCTGTTCTGTGCACTGAGCACTTCTTTGCTCAGACCAGTCCGATTCGAATAAAAAGAATCATGTCTATCATTGTTATCAAACCGGTACGCTGCAGCGGCCTCTTACTGTGCTGGCAAGCCCGCCGGGCGGTATGCCACACAAGAAGAGAGCGGACTGCACCCCTTCACCTAATGCATCCGGGGCCGTACCGCCCAGTCGGTACAATACAGGCCGTCAGCGAGGCCGGTCATACACATGAGTCGTCTTCGCACTGAGCCGGAGAGGCGTCCGAGCGTTAATGAGGCGACGATGGGCGATGCCATCTGCGATAAGGCACGCGGCTTTTAACCCGGCATCACCTCTGCATAAGGTGCGCCCGTGATGGCGGTGCCGAGCCCTCTTGGCCCGCCGGTCGGCTGGTCGGTGCATCTCTCCGTCTAGGAGTGGCCCGTTCGTAGATTAGTGCTGAGTTGCAGCTAAGTGGCCGGACGCTTTCATTGGATAGCGGCTGGAGTTGTTTGGATCCGGTGTCATGAACGTTAGTGGGATCTGGCGGCGCGGCCAGCGCTGCAAGCCGTCTCCGTGATGCGCTGAGTGTCCACAAATAGCTGTAAGCGGTTTGGGCTGGCTGTTTGATGATAATGGGATGCACGGATGTAGATACATACACCGCTCGGGGTCGACACTCTGCAGTAATGTACAGTTGGTATTAGACTAGGTATACCGGGCGGGCGCTTTCTTGTAGCCTTTTATGGCGCTTTTGGTTCGCTGCGGTGGAAGGGGATGCGGTGAGGTCGCTGACTCTGATCCTATGCTGTTTCAGGTCGATGAAGGTGGCGTTCCGGTAGTTTTAGCGAGAAATAGTCGACGAGCGACCTCTTCGAGTGAGCTCACCGCTGGGAAACCGGGAAGGTGAGAGCAATGCAAGATGACGACGTAGAAATGGAGCCTCAAGTAGCGAATGGTGTGATGATTTGAAGAAATGTTCACTTTTGTCTGAATGGTGAGTGATGCTTTATGAAACCCTGCATATTATCTGAAAGCTGTTGTCCAACCCGTGAGATTTCATTTTTAAGTTGCCGTATTTGAAAGGCCCACTAGTCAGTGGTTTGGTGAATGAATCAATGTTCGCAAAATGAACATTTCATTCGCAGAAAAGGCTATCTAAGTGACTAATCATGCTACACCAAAGCTACTCGTGAGGTTATATATCGTTTGCAATTTTACAATGCGATTAAAGGTTGTCTTATGTTCTACCGAAGTCACCGGTAAAGTGATTTATCTTTCTCAATTTTACATTTGTGATATGTTGCTTTATTTGTATACTCCCTGATGGATATTTATCAAGAACTGTCTCATTCGTACGAAGATATGGGAAGATACGAATGATCGAGTCGATTTGAAACAAAGGAACGTTTGCTACCGGGCCGTGAATGTGAATTAACGGTATTGCAAGCCGTGAATTTGTTACCAAAGCACTCGGCTGAGCCTTCGTCCCAATGATAACGTCATTACGCAAAACGCAAAGTGCGTATGTGCCTGTACGCCATTGGTTGTGATCATTGTGGCATAGTTACACCTCGTACGCGTGTTATGTCATCATGCACGGCTTACGAGCGTTGTCCCAAGCGCACTGAGCCAACAGGAGGAAAATTCACATGTCGAGTGTTTGTAGCTGAAATAATTAAGCTGCTCACTGTTTGGAGACTGTGCTTGCCAGAGTGACTCTCAGCGATGGATGTGAACATGAGTCTCGTTTTTTGCATCCCTCCATTTCCGTCCAAGTCTCCTGACCCCTTCCCCCTCAAATGAGCTCGCCCTCCTTCCCCGCTGCCCCCCGCCCCCTTGCCGCCTTCCGTGCCAGCCATGTGATATGTGGCGCCATCTTCTCCCACACTATGTAAGAATCCAGCATACATACGCACAATCCACCCGCCCGTAATTCGCATAAGGGCACCAATGCACGGAAAACGGCGGCGTTGCGTGCGATGTGCGTGATGGGGTGCGTCCGAAATGCGTCGGTTGTGTGCGTTTTATTTGAAACGAAGCTCTGTAAGATGCGGTTCGGTGGAACGTGGACGCTTTGGGAAATGCCGTGAGCAACCCGTGTTTATTACCCGTGTTATATTATCAGTTTTATTATCTCGAGTCAGTCTACTGGTTGTGTTTGCCGAATCGTGTATTGGAGCTGCAAATTTGGCGTCTTGCGTTATGAGTTTGATGCTTCAGTGAGTGCGTTTGCACTGTTGCTGTTGCTTCTATGATGCCTGTTTGACGTGGCATTTTGAGATTATCTACAGTCATCTCTCCCCTCTTTGAGCTCACCTGTTATTTTGTTTGAAGGATGACGTGCTCTATCCAGTTTGTCTCTATAAACCTACTGGTTTTGCTGTTTAGCGTGCATGTAACTGTGTGTCTCAAATGTGGTGCTCTTACTGATATTACCGTATAGCACTCCTGCTTTGACTGTTTGATGTGCACCTACTGCTGTGCCTCAACACGGATGTATTGTGATAACGCGTGCCGTGCAATAAAAGCAAAACTCACTGGTTATATACTGAAAACAGCGTTTGTGTCAGCGATTTGAACAGTTATGAAATAGGGGAAGTTGGGGCAATGCCGGAGTTGGGGCAAAGCCGAAATTCGAGATATTTCGAAAACCGTAAGACATGGATGCCACCTGTCAGTGATGCTCTGAAGCTTAAGTGACTACATTTATCGCATGTTTGTTACGAGTCGTCATTCGGAATACTTCGACTGTGAGGGCGCGAAGAGCGTTTTCAAGGTACGTTTCCCTTGTACTACATGCGCCTTTGAAGCTGCATTTCTTACTCATTATGCTACCGTTTGACTGGCCAATTCGGTCAAGTAATCTTTAGCATGTCTTTGCATAAGTGTGCTGCCTATTTGAAATTTATACAGCACGTTGAAAAGTTATGGGCCTGCAAATGAAAGTATGGCTGACTGGGGTAAAGCCGAAAACGTGCGATTACGCACGTGTTAAAAGCACGGTACGTGGACTTTACTGCTGTAGAATAGCAACGCGTATTTTTAGTCACACAAATTACACTTTCAACCGACACAACGGCCTGTTACCTAAAATGAATGATTTACCTGGCATTTTCTTATTATATCACACAATTATAACTTCCAGTGTGCACCGCGTCCTCAAGCTCTTAAAACGCGTGTCAGCTTTGATGAATTCTGGATAAAGTTTGAGATAAAATGGCAAAACATCAATGTCGGCATTCCCCGTAGATCATTTCTCCCATTTTCGGCTTTCCCCGCAGTCCGGGGCAACGCCGAAAAAGTCACTTCTTTGATATTTTTAGTTTGTGCGCCGGTATGCGAATTCATCAAATGCGCCTGGCATGTTTGAAAGGCAAAAGACTGGCCTCTCGAATGACGCCAACAAGAATAGCTTATGTTGTCTACCTTGCGTGCTACGGGCGTAAGAAAAAAAGTCTTCGGCGTTGCCCCAACTTCCCCTAGTATTCAGCACATTGCGCGTATGCACCAATATGTGAGAAATCCGATAATTCTACGTTGAAATGTACTACCATATCCAAGATCCCGAGTTCTCTAGCAATTTTTGGTGGAAATTATCCTAACATTAAGAACTTCACGCCGCTTGCAATAGTGCACCACTTGCGACACAGTATGCGATACCTCCGTGACACCGCCCCCCCCCCTTCCACGCACCCCTCACCACGGCGTGGAGGGCGATCGGTGCATCTGAGAAGACGGCCCCAGATAGGATCAGCTCTGTCGCGGCCGAGACGGCCAATAGATGGGTCTCGTCACCACGACTGGCGGCCTGCAGTGTCAGATAGACGCGGGTCGGCCGAGGAACGCACAGGGTGGTCCGGGATGGGATGGACTGCCAAGGTGTGGTCTCCAGCGCCGTTATGTCAGTGAGGTGTGGTTTGAAAGGTGGATGATGTGCTTACTGCTTAGTGTGTCACTCAAAGTGGGACGTTCGTATCAGATCGCTATCGAAAGTGATGGCGAGGTGAGGGTTTGGATGGTGCTGATATGCACAGACAATGACGCCTGTGCTGGGTTTGCTGGTTGGTTAAATGGCCTATTTGATGTAATGAGTCTAATGACACATCTGACGCCGATAAATTGACCCCCTGTGTGTCAGCAGCATTCTCTCCATGCCTGCCATACCGTCCGGGTCTATCTCGTTTGTCGAAAACAGCCTGTGCCATGGGCGGCGCGTCCCCCGCCGTCATTACCGTCCGCTAAATTGGCCGGGCCGGCCGCGTCCCCGCCGGTCCCCGATGGTCCCCGATGGTCTCTGATGGTCTCTGATGGTCCCCCGGCGGTCCGAGCCCCGCCGGTGGGCTGCGCTCCCCTGTGACCGTGATTGACTCCGGCTGGTGGAGAGATAGTCGCTCCCAGATCCACCAGCTGCCAGCGTTTACCGCAGCCGGCCACGCGCCGCTTCTGCCGCTCTGCGCCACCTGCCGCCATCCTCTCTCCCCTCTCCCTCCCTCGGCCCCGACCCTGGCTCCTCTCCCCCGTCAACCGCAGCTCTTTCGGTCCGTGATTTCAGCGCAAACACAGCCCGGCGGCAGCGCGCGGTCAAGGTGGCGTGCGCGACTGTTCTCTGCGCGACCTTACCGGCCCTCCGACGCCACTGCTCAAACATTTCGCACAAAAACATCTGTTTCAATTATGCCACAGCGTTTGGCTGTGTTTGACTACTGTCAGGGGCAGCATTTGTGTCATGGTTCCGGCGCGGCGTGGCAGCCGGTGAGCCATCAGTGGGAACACGCGCTGACGTGTGGCCTTGGACGGGGAGATGGGACGCTGAATGTTGACTGCTGAGGTGGCACAAAAAGTTCGCAGGTCGTCCCGGTCTGCCGTCTGTGTCGGCTGAGACGGTGACAGATGAGAGGGCCGGGCCGGATGTTACCGGGACGAAGAAGAGTTACCGGTGATATCCCGCGCCCTGGTGGGGGGGGGCTATTTTTTGCCCCCCCCCCCCTCCAGCCTTTTCGATATATCTCCAGAACCGCTGCGCCGATCGTAACCAAACTTTCAGTACCCTCCCGGACATCAATTTTACATATGGTGACCAAAAAATTTTCCAAAGGCTATGATAGGTTGGCCGGAAATGACGTCAGAGTGACGTCATGTTCTGCCGTTTTCGACCCAAAAAAGGGTTTCGCGGGAAGAGCTGTCAGGCCTATAGCTTTGCAAATACAGAAAAATGATAAGGACATAAAAGCTGTAGAATTGACAGGGCTACAAAACTGCTATCTCGGATTTTTGAAATTTTTGGATTTTGACCCCCAAAAATCAAAAAATAATTTTTTTGGATATAATGATCGAAAAATCCAAAAAGTTTTTTGAATTTCGCAAAAACCGGAATATATGTGATAGTCCTTACCGCCTTCCATCCACATACCAAATTTGAGATTGATACCTCTTTTTTTGGCGAAGTTATAGTGAAAAAACTGTTCAAAATTGATGACGTCAAATTTTCAAACTCAATTTTTAGCAATTCTAGACCCCGTAGCGCAAAACAAAGACCACCATTAGACTCCCCGTGACGAGCTGCATCGAATCAATACCCATTTTATGCAAAACTATCAACTTTAAAATTTGACCTTTTTTGGCCTGACCTTGACCTGACCTTGACCTAAACTTCACCAGAAAGTGACCTAAGCCGTACCTGATAGTCTTATAACCAACACCATTGAGTTGGAAATGAAAAATTGGCCATAAAACATGCATCACACAACCTTAGTAAAGTTGGGCTCATGTGACCTGACCTGTGACCCTTGGTGACCTGACCTGTGACGTGACCTGGTATTGTCAGTGACCTCTAATAGCAACATATCTACTGGGCAACTGACGCCCTATCGCTGATTCTCGACAAAATGCGTTTTCCTCGGTGTTATAGCGCATTCCCTAGAAGACCCGTGAACGGTGAAACATTTCATCTTTGACCTGACCTGTGACGTCATCGGTGACCCCGAGGTCAATGAAATTTGGTTTCCTTCGACAAATTTGACAGGCCTTTCGAACGCCGTTTGAATTTTGCGGATCCGTCCAGTAGTTTCGGAGATACGAGGGGGGGGCAAAAAATAGCCCCCCCCCCCACCAGGTCGCGTTATAAACAGACCCCACCAGGGCGCGGGATATGGGCAGAAGAAGGGCTCGGATGGTGACTGATATGGGTTAGGTAGTTTGAGATAAAAACTCTGAGCCAGTATCAAGAGCGACTTATGAATCAGTAGCTGGGAATACTAATAGGTATTTGAAAATGCATGGAGCCGCACTTGAAGTGATTGAATAAGAGCACTCAGAATGGCGAGATGGAAAGCACAAAAAAGATGTTTGGTGACGGGAGTATATCTCTGGTTGGATGGACGGAAGCGGCTCCCTTTGGGTTCCAGTCGGCCACTAATGCCCTGTCTTTTTCTGTCAGTCTGTGACGATGATAGATGCGACCGGCTCGTTCGAAGGCATGCATATCGTTATGTGGCATTGTTCTGTTTCTGAGTAAAAACGGTCGCCGTCAAAAGTCAGGCCAGTCGCCTCAGAACACCACCTGCTATGCTAACCGAGGAAATTACTGCCATATCTTTGCTAAAAGAGTCTCTGTTTATCTTTTTTATAACGGATGTCTAGATTCTCGTGAATTTGCAATTTGTATTAGGAAGTAAACAATATTTCAGTTTATAAGTTGACGTGCCTTTCAACGGCTGGTAGCAACACACAAACAGGACCAATATGTCAGCTCAAAAACTAATCGTGGCGCCTCGTGCGAGTGAAGACGTGCGCCTTTGTTCGGCTGCAGCTTCCCAGATTGGAATTCACGGACGGTGAGCGGCGAAATGCCGGGCCAACGATCGACGCCGCCCTTTATGAGCTGCGTGGCAGTGACCTTAGGAATTTCGCAGACTGCAGGGATGCTCAGATGATGAGAAGAGAGCGGAAAAATTGCAGCGTGTGGGCCACGCGTGATATTTTTTCTGGTCCAAGGCCGGGAAGGTGTTGAAAACGGGCATTGAAGAGTGAAATAAAGGATTGAAATGATTACATACGATTTGGTTCCCCGGAGGGCATAAATGGGCATTGATTAGTTGCAAGAAATTCCAAAGAATATTCAAAGATGCAGTTTACTATCACCTTGTAGGTAGTTCCCAAAGGGCGTAGCCTCCGTGGCATATTTTATGAAGCTCGTCGAGCACGTAACTCTAAACTCGTCGAAATGGTTCACTGCCGACCATTGAGAGATTGAGCCAGGTTTTGTTCTACTTTGAAGACAGCCTGTCTGACGGGGCGGGGTGGTGTGCTGATGTTTAGGGCGGCATAATTCCTGCATATACGGCAGAGCCGAGTGTCATCCGTCGAGCTTGACACCTCCGAACCGATGTCAGCCCAATATCTATGGTGATTTCATGCAACCGTGGCCGTGTGAGTGGGTTTTTACTATATGACACAGAATCCCGGAATTGCCCGATACATTATTCAGACGTCGCCGGCGACGATCTCGTTGGAGAAGCGATGACTGGTTTATGCCGACGAGACATCTCCGATGCAGAT